TCATGAGTGTAATGATTTGGATGACGAGTTGGTCTTGCCGGAGATCATCACCTGTCTTGAAAATGATGGGATACCTGCCGTGTGTCTGCGTTCGTGGTGTCGATGCGCTCGAACCTTCAGCGGCATATGCAATTTTCAAGCTCAAGTATAACGGCGACAGTGATGATTTGAAGACATTGGCTTCATCAGGGTAGACCCCACATACTTGGACTTCGGGATCGAGCGCCAGCGGGATTGGTGGCTCGATTTTGACGAGCTCGTTCTTGGGATCAGCCAGAGTCTTCTTAAGCAACTCGATCTTCTGCAGGCGATTGGCTCTGCTGAAACGGATCTCCTTGCTGATGCTCGATAGAATCGTGATCATTTCACCTTGTCTCAATAGCGTCTTGCGCAAACTGGGATCGCGCTTTTCCATCTCCACCATGAAATGATACTCCACTCTTGCAAATACTGCTCGATTTGCAGCGCTGGTGTCAGTGCTCTGATCAACACATTCGACCATGAGGAACCAGTGCAAGTAGTTCCCGAGCATAAAATTGTTTGCAGCGCGGTCAATGAGGAATTTCGCCAACGACGAAGCCGGAAGACCTTCTTCGGTGCTCTCATACTTCTCAAATTTCAGCGCTTGAACAAGTTGGAGAAGGTACAACTGCAATTCGGCATCTCCAGCCTGTCGAAGACGGTCAACGGCGTATGCACGGACAACTGGGTTATCATAGGTCGGTCCCAGTAATTCGAGGGCGGCATCAACATCAATCTTGGCCCATCTAGGAATTAGTTCAACAAGTTGACGAACTTCATTTGGATTAGTGAAATCGGTCGCCTTGACAACTTTGGTCAGAGCTCGTTTATCACGACTCAAGTGTCGTCGGAACGTCCAGATGACGTCCTTGTCTTGAGCGCTCAGTTCCTGCGTAGGGCCGTACGACAGAATCTCATTGAGTTCGTCTCTCATTTTGGCATTTGGCTTTTGATCACTGTCGGAAAATGCATTCCTATCGCTTCGAACTAGCCGACGGTGTTTGCTCTCACAAGGATTTTCCTTTTGGAACTGCTCGGGGTCGAAGATTTGGACAACAGGGTAATCCTCGTCGTCAACGACCGACGTGCCTGGAGCAATACCTGGACCATATCGGACTTCCGGTGGAGGTTTTGCCCCCACTGCTGAAGCCGAAGGAGTACTTGAAAACTCTTTCATCATCTTCGACGGTTCATAGCCATAATCTTCAAAGATGACAGGAAAATCCCACCGGGGAAAGTCGACATAAAGAGTGAACCGTTCTTCATCATCCGTGTCCTCGTCAGAATGGTTGTCTGCGTCAACGTCGCCGTATCCGTTGACGGTATCCTTCAATCCTGCGGAAATCAACTCAGCCGACTTGCGCTTTGAGGGTCTGTTGACAGATGATCGTTTTCGTGCAGCTTGTTCAACATCACGGGCTTTCTTCCCAACATTCTGAAAGACCAGCTGATCTAGCCAGTCGTTTTGAGGAATCTCGTTCATTTCATGTTTCTTGAAGAGTTGCTCTAGCCTTTCGAGCTCCTCTTCTTCCGGAATAGGAGGAGGCGGCTGCTCATTTGGCTTCCGACGTTTTGGACGGGGAATGTGTGGCGTCCTGGAGGGCGATTGACCGTCGGCAGCTTTCCGGCGATAGACTTTGCATTTTTGGCGACCTTTCCTCAAAGTGCCATCTTCATCAAACAATGGGATGGTGGTGCCGCCGAATGGCACGGCATGGTCGATGCTACCATTCTCTGGGCAGGGTGAGATATCCCATATAGTGATAGCAATCTGTGAGGAAACTGGGCAGTCCTTGACCAAAACAGGCAACTCCAGCCATTTATTCCAGGTTCTGTTGTTCTTAAAGAATGTATGGGGCGTTTGCATAGAGACACCCAGCGGTTTGGATTCGGCCCATAGCTGAGCAGTCACATACAGTTCTGAATTCGTATTTTGGACCGATCCAATGTGGCGTATTTCTGGGTGTTTCAGTAAGATACTATACGGAAAGGAAAGCTGTTTGCCCTCCAACGTGTTGCTATATGCAGATTAGTGCCAATGGCCTTAACTTAGTCTGGAGTTTGACGGCAACGGGGGCGACGGATCCAGGATTGTGAGCGAGGTGGCCAGACACTCACATTCTGACACAGACTGGGAAGTCTATTTGACGGGAGGTTGCAAAGGTGTATGTATCCATGATGGAAGGTCTGAGGGGCAGCTGTCCATGGTGTGGAAAGCTTGGAAACTGTTAAAGTAGCGAGTTTCCATCGAGCGATGGACAAACGATGCACAAACCACATCCAACAGGAGCGAAGCCGGACAGGCGATGAACAAGGCAGGCAATAAAAGGAAGGCTGAGGCACTAACCGTAATTGGATTAGCGTATCTATCGCGTTGAGGATCACGTTGCCGCGTCTCGCTGAGCCTCAACCCCTCCTAAGGTCCAACGTGTTCGCTGTCGCCTCATCCAATAACTTTAATGCAGCGTGCTCGCAAGAGTAAAGCAATAGACAAAGTCGAGACAAACCCTACAGCGCCTATTAGATCCAAACCTAGCCAGAGCTGCAGCAAACAGACATCTTTCTGACCTCGCTTCTGCTGGGAATGCGCCAACCATGGCCCGTCTAAACACCGCCGCAGACTCCTCTGATACCGAGAACGAGAGGCTCACGAGCTCTCCCCATCTTCATACACCCGCTACCTCGCACGCTCGTTCCTCTGATACTCAGGCGTACGGCTCCGACAAAGAGAACGAGCGTGGTCGTGCAAGTGGGAAAAAGAAGAGAACGAGGCCTGCAGTCCATATGTCCGGCGGAACTCCAGACGACTCGCGAAAGCGAAGGAGAACAGGGGGAGAAGAATCGCAGACCCCATCAGCCCAACAATACTATGATCCTGACCAGAATCCTGAAGAACGACGCCAAGTCCGTAGGGGTTTGCGCTGTCTCTTCGCGAAACTCAACGATTCCAAGGCCGAATATCTCCGGCCTGACTCGAAAGGCCTCGAGGAGACTCTCAGGGAAGCAGATGAACTTTACAAAAATGTCAAGCAAACCTCAGAAGCCACTATTGATTCGCGATTGCTCCTCGAAACTGCGGAGCTGTCTTCTAGAAAGATCAACAATATGACTCTGGGTGATGGGACAACCTGTATTGACGTGGACGACTTTATCACGAAATGCATTGTATTTATGAAACAGGGTAACGAGCCAGGCAAGGCTTATCAGAATGAAGACCCAAGCACTCAAACTCAAGGTCGGCGGAGAAGACGGCGTCAGGAAGCGGATGAAGACGATGAAGGCGATACCATGAATTGGGAGTATCTGGGGAAGAATGCCTGCTTCCTGTACAATTCACGTCCTTGCTTGACTGGCTTTCTCCTTGGTCCTCTATCGGTTCAGAAAAAAGTCCGGCAACAAACCCAGCGAAGGGCTCAAGACGCCCGTACCCAATCTACGCAAGCAGTACGTCCGATTCGGCTTGGCGACGAAGACTTTGAGAGGCAAGAATCGGCAAGCCTTACTGAGATCTGCACCGAGATTGCGCGGCTTCTGCAAAATGCTATGGTTACAAGCCGAGCCAATGCAGAAGCAGAAGTCTGCAACGCAACGGGGGACCTTTCGGACCAGGACCTGCGAGAGATCCTGCGGAGGAATGTAATAGCTGACAATGGGGGTTTGCCGCTTTTCAACTTCTGCGTGAACCCAAAATCGTTTGGACAGACAGTCGAAAACATGTTTTACGTGAGCTTTCTGATCAAGGAAGGAAAGGTTTCTCTGGAACTGGACAGCCAGGGACTGCCGACGCTGCGTCTCGAAGAGCTCAAGACTCTGGAAGAGAGGCAGGAGGCACAACGCAATCAAGCAATCTTCACACTTGATTTTGACGTCTGGGAGGATATCATTCGGAATTTTGGCATTGAGAAGAGCATCATCCCTCATCGGACGGAGGGGGAATACGATGACGGCATACTAGATTATGCGCGCATGGAGGACGATGTTGACCTCAGTGAGGAAGAGCAGGAAGATTCTGATGCGCACTCTTGAGAGCGATAAGGTTGTTGGGAGCTGGGTACGCCGCGATGTTTTGTGTTTGTACGATGCAACAGGCTCGTGTTTGTACGATGAAGCAGCCTCGTGTCTGTTCTCATGCGATGGATCATTGTTTGTTTGTCTGACTTCTGTTTTTCTCCAGCACATGTCATGAGATGAATGGACAATTCGGCACGTCAATACCCGGGCTCACAGTCTGACTGTTTGTGAGACCCAACCAGCTTGCAGAGGATGATCCAACCGATACTCTTCTACTTGTTATGCCGTCTTGTAGGAATATTTGGAGAAGCGGGTCTGGGTTTCGATCCTTGCCCCTTTGGCTTCACGGTTGCACTATTAGATGGACAATGCATCAATAGGGTCTTTTTCTCCGCCTTGTACGGAGCATCCACGCACCATGTTCCCCGCGCCGCCCGCAGTCTTCCCTTGGACTAAGCAACAACGCCACCAACGCCATTCCATGTCTGATCTTCATACCGCATCCCACATCACCTTCTGTCCCTCATTTTTCATATGCCGACTCGCCCATGGGCCCATGGGGCCCTTGACCCTGTCTCAGACTGCCAAAACGTGTGATGCAAGATGAACGAGCCGGGCATGACGGCCTCATTGCCGATCGGTTTTGTTCCGTTGGAAGTTGATCTTCTCACGGATGCCACCAGGAGCCGATGGTATAAGGTGAGTGAAGATGCAACCTGCCCCCTCCTTGACCCGTTCTTCTCTCGCCTATTGGGAGTTTCCTGGTTCCAGGTAGGTGCCCCAACTCAGACTCTATCTCGAAAATAAAGGAAAAGAAAGAAAGAGAGAGAAAGAGAGAAAGAGGGAGAGATAAAAAAAAAATGGAGAAGTCACGACCCGCAGAGCATCGCGAGGATACAAGCCCAGAGGTAAGCAGCACATACATACATGTACATCGGCATTACCTCACAAACCTTTCTCATGGTGCCATGTTTAATAAGACCTCGTCGGTACAGAAACTGGTCATTGCATCGCCGCCGTCGAGCGAAGATGATGCCGCTGTCAACCACGTCGAGTACGAAAAGCGCAACCGACGCCTCAATCGGCGCCTGGACATCCGCATCCTCCCGCTGTGCTGTTGGGTGTACCTACTCAACTTCCTCGACAGGGGCAACATCGGCAACTCCAAGGTGCTCAACTCGGAAACAGGCGACGACCTGCTGCAGCAGACACACATGACAGCGGGTGGCTACGCCGTCACCGTCTCGCTCTTCTCCCTCGCCTACACGCTGTTCGAGGTGCCCAGCAACTATGTCATGAAACACTGGGTGCGGCCGTCGCTGTGGCTGGCGTTCCTGCTGTTCGCGTGGGGCGCGTTGACGATTGGGTTTGCCGGCGTGCAGAACTATGCCACCGTTGTTGTGTTGAGGTTTTTGATCGGCGCCTTTGAGGCCGGTTTCTTCCCAGGTAGGTAACGAGGCTCCGGTTTTCCCCCAGACTTCAATGGAGCAGGAGGGATGCTAGAATCCTCTGATTCCGATTTAATTGTTGTTGAGAAAAACAGAAACCATTCTGGAGGAACATTCTGGAGTTGGTCCTGCTGAATCCTAAGACCATGAATACTGATTTCCCAATTCTCCTTGGCCATAGGCATCGTCTACTTCATCACGATCTGGTACCGCTTCAACGAGCGCGCCGTCCGCATCGCCTGCGTCGTGGCCTTCTGCAATCTGGCGGGCGCCTTCGGAGGCGCAATCGCCTACGGTGTCGGTCACATCAACGGCTCCGCCGGCCTCCAGGGATTCAGGTGGCTCTTTATTATTGAGGGCATCATCACGCTAGTCTCAGCGTCCTTCTTGTTCTTCCTCCCTGATTACCCTGCCCGCGCCAAGTTTCTGAACGAGTCGGACAAGCGGTTCGCAGAGGACCGGTTGAAGGAAAGAGGAGGCGGCTATCTCAGGAGCCATGCTTCGAGAAAGGAGGTTGTTGCGACATTCTTCAGTCCGAGGATGTTGGCGCATTATATTGCATACGTAAGTTTTCTTTTCTTCCCTTCTTCTTTTCGCCCGAGCACCCCCACTGTTATATCTCAGGAGCTACCTCCCCTTTCTTGACCCGGAGTCTGGCCAGTCGTCTTGGGACATCTCACAGCGGAAGACTGACCATGTAATCCGTTCTGACTCACAGATCGCCGACGTCGTCCCACAAGGCTCGTTCACATTCTTCACACCGACCATCGTCAACGGTCTGGGTTACACGTCGATCCACGCACAACTCCTGACGGTGCCGCCATGGTGCGTCGGCTTCGTCGTGGCAATCACGCTATCGTACAGTGCGGACCACTTCAACGCGCGCGGCGTGCACATCACGCTGGCCTCGCTGGTCGGCGCCGTGGGCTGGCTGGCCGCGGGACTACTGCCGCCGGACGCATATGGCGCGCGGTACGGCTGTCTGTGCCTCGCAGCGTGCGGAGCGTTTCCCGTCGCGCCCTCGATGGCCAACTGGGTCGCCTGCAACACGCCGTCGCTCCTGACCATCCCCTTCGCTATCGCCCTCAACAATAGCTCCGCCGGCATCGGCCAGATCATCGCCCAGTGGATCTGGAAGGCCGACGAGGCCCACAAGGGTTATCCCACCGGCAACTTCACCTGCGCGGCTTGCGGCTTCTTCGTCGCCGCCGTTACGGCCGGGCTGAGGCTGTGGTATGGGCGCATGAACAAGTACGGGGTGAGGGATGCTAGTGGGGCAGAGAGGGTATGGGCGCTGTAAGGACAAATCCTTGTATGCCTGTGAAGTCTGGTTTGAGGAGTGCTTGAAAAGAGAAGAGGACCCAAGTGGCTCATACTCCGGAGATATATATGAACGAGGAAAGATTCGACGTCGGGCCAAGTTTGAAGTCTGTGCTGTCTTGGCTATCACATGCTCGGAGTCGACACAACTCTATACATATGTAGAAGGCAGACGCGGCGTTCTTGGTCTCTAGAATTGCAAAGAGGTGTAGCCGAACGCGTGCAAGATACCTAGTTACGTACCAAGCCGAGCTTGCTCTATGCCGTTCTGTTCCCCATTAAGACCATCTAAGCAAAATTCTATGGCCGGAGAAAGGTCACCAGGGACGGTCGACCTTCTACCTCATTGTCACGAGTTCCTCTGCGCTGGTCTGTTCTAATTGTAAGCTGTCTAAATTCCCAAGAGGCACGCAAGATCGAGAGGGAGGACGAGGGCAAACATACCGGATGGATAGCAACACAGCTATCAAAGTCTTTCTTTGTCGCGCCCATTTTGACGGCAACACTAGAAGATTGTACTGTTAGCCACAGCATAGAACCAACCGAAACAAAAGTTTGCAGATATGCCTTCCAAACAAGCCACGGGAGAGACAGGTATAATCGGTCGTCAGCACTCACCCAAAGCCTTGCATCATTTCATCTACTCCTCGGCCCAAGATATGTAGTCCCACGATTTCCTCGCGCGGACCTTGACAGACGATCTTGAATTCTGTTGGTTCTTTCTTCTTTTCTTCTGGTGGGTATCTAAGAAATCCAATTAGTCCAGAATCCCTCGGTCTCTCTGGCTGTGGGTCCAGGGCAGCTCGTATCACTTACACATCGTAGTACATAGCCGAGAACTTCGTATGATACACTTTTACATTCTCTTTGCCATAGCGCTCGATCGCTTGGGGCTCGGTAAGGCCGGTGGCGCCGACTTCAGGGTGCGAGAAAACAACAGAAGGGATACGTTCGTAGTCGAGGTGCGACTCTTTGAGTTCAGGAGGGCCGAAGAGGCGGTTACCTAGTTGGCGACCGGCGGCGATGGCGACGGGTGTAAGTTCAGCCTGGCTCAATGGTCAGGAGGGCATCCATTTTTGGTGGTCTGGAGTTGCGTATACCTGGCCTGTAACATCGCCCAGAGCATAAACACCCTCAACAGATGTGTTCTGATACTTATCCACCACAATATGACCGTTTTTGTTCGTTTTCACTGGGATATTCTCCAATCCCAATCCCCTCGTTTCTGGACCTCGCCCAATTGCCCATAATAATTCATTGGTGATCATCTCCGAGCCATCGTTCATTATTAACTTGAGCTGCTTCTCTCGGGGATCGGAGCCGTCTGCGCTACCAGGATGCAATTGTATGACTTCCTTGATACCGGGATGCTCTCGATGTACGTGGACGCCGATTTCTTCATAATGCTTGGTCATGGTCTCTTGAACCATGGGATCGAATTTTCTCAAAAAAGTATTGCCACGGATGAACAGGTGCGTCTCCACGCCGATGGCGTTCATCACACCTGCAAGCTCGACCGCGATATAACCTGCGCCGACAAACACCATCTTTTTGGGGAGATGCTTGATCAGGAAGAACTCGTCGGAGGTAATGCCGTATTCTGTGCCCTTGATCCCTTCCGGAATAGTGGGATATGATCCAGTCGCAATGCAGATATGCGGCGCCGTTACCCTAAATGCTTCACCCCCATCTTTGGGCTTGACTTCCATCTCGTGCTCGCTGACAAATGTTGCTTGGCCCTTGATCAGATCAATGCCTTCTTTCGCCCAGTTATTCTCATAGGCGCCGTTGAGGACTTTGATTCTGGCATCGCGCTTCTCGACGAAAGTCTTGAAATCGAAGGAGTTGCCGTCGCCGAATTTGTAGCCGTAGTGCTTGCCTGCTGCCATGGCTTCGCTGACGGACGCAAAGTTCCAGGTCATTTTCTTGGGTACGCAACTGGGATGGGAGATCAGTATATGTGCCTCACTCGATTCGTATGCTTCTTGCTTTACCCAACGTTCACGCAGCAGCCTCCTGACACACCCGCGTCGATGATACATGTCTTTGCACCGTACCATCCACTTGCTCTTCTGGCAGCACCACTCCCACCCGATCCACCCCCAATGACTATGTAGTCATACTGCTTCGTGATCGGAGCCATCCTCGAGGAGGAAGAGGAGAATTGCCTTGTGAGGCCCGCAAGTCTCGAGACAGAGGCAGGGGACGAAGCGGGGTCCGGCCGGAGCGGTTCAATGTGCAGAGACCTTGCAGACGCCAGAATCGGAGTTCGGTTGAGTGTAGCAGACAGCCAGGAGAGTCGACCGGGCCTAATTGACATGTCACGGAGGGAGGAACGGAAAGAAGATGGAGAAGGCAGGCCCGAGAGCTTTTATCGAATTCAAGAAACGGTCTTCCCAATGTCAGAGGGTCCTTGGATCTTGGTCGCCAATGTCTGCACCATCTGTATGGCGGTTCTTGATGATGTGATCCACGTCTCAGAAAGATTCCTGCCCACCCCACATCGACGTTCCGCCAATGACCTGGAGAAGGCGCCCACCAGACCCGTCTAGCGCCCCGATTGCTTATCAAATCGCACAGCAACGGTGTTGACGGCACGAGCGGCGGTGACACGGTCTGCATGGCAAGATTGCGAGCCACAAGGATGACTGATCTAGCTGCAGATGGCATTTGGTTGTTTTTTTGCTCCAGAAAGGCACGCGCATCCAACTGATTTCTGGTTCGGGGCACTGTAACCTGTCTCAAAAGGGCAGGTTAAAATAACTCAAAACGCTATTTGAGAGGCTTGGTAGCATTCCATGTGAAGCAGATCTCGTCTCCAAAGAAACTCAGATCGGAGGCTATGTAGTATGCTCAAATCTATAGTTTAGGCTTCCCTCTGGGGTCGGGCCTTTTCTCGCCAATATCAATCTGGTTCCACCAGGGATACCCGTCTGGAGCGTCTTGAGGTACTTGCCCGGTGAAATTAACCGGCCTCTTCTGCAAGAAGCTCTCAACACCCTCGACATTGTCCTTGCTGCCAAACAAGCCATGGATGATCCTCGAATCAAGAAGATGGGCACCCTCCGCGCTATCCGCTCCTCGGTACATAAGCTCTCTCATAACCTTTGTTGACACGGTCGATGTGTTCTTCGCTATCTCGTCAGCGAGCTCGAGTGCTCGAGCCAAGGTGGCCTCTGGAGTTGGACATGTCTCGGAGAAGAGAGTTCCGAACAGTGGACTGTCGGCAGGATATACGGCGCCAGTCGTCGTCAAGTGTAGTGCTCTGGAGTGACCGATCAAGCGGGGCAGGAAGTAGGAGGAGCAGGCTTCCATAATGATACCGCGTCTGCTGAAGACGAAGCCAATCTTGGCTTTGGCATAGGCGATTCGAATGCATGCCGGTAAGCACATGGTGATGCCCACACCGACAGCTGCACCTTGGATGGCAGCAATAGTCGGCTTAGAACAGTGGTGAATTGCTAAGGAAGTTCTCCCTCCGCTGTGTGAACATGTCAGTCTCGGCTTCGTATGCTCGATTATCACTCATACCCATCTCTGTGATCCACGTCACGTTCAGTTTTGGGATTCTTGACCTGACCAGTCTCATCTCTTGCTCCCAAGAACCCAATTTCCAGATCAGCTCCGGCACAGAAGCTTCGTCCTGCGCCCGTCAAGACAACTACCTTGACCCGTGGATCAATGTCGATCAGTTCGTAGACCCGTTCCATATCCTCCCGCATTTGATCCGTGAAGGCATTGTGTTTCTGCGGTCTGTTTAATGTTATTATGAGCACCGGCGTGGGAGTTGGCGAGGATTCGGGGACATGGGAGACTTTGATCTGCTTGAGAGGAAGGGTGGCGTAGGAATCGGGGATCTGCAGAGGTGGATGAGGTCTGGGAGGCATGTTGGATTGAGCGGGCACGCGTATAGGTTGGCAGATACAAAAAAATGAGAGCAATGAGTTCAGAGATGTCGGGGCATTGTTCACATTCCTTTGCATATGTTGAGTATTTGTCGTCCGTCATACCCTCGGCTGAGGCTCCAAAAGCAGCTCAACACCGCGGCCTAGGTAACTCTGTATTTGGGGCACATGGAGAGCTGCTGCGGGGGGTTAACCGGCAGCTCAAAAAAGCTCGGTCACAGCCGAAGTCGTCGCTGTGGTATCCGGTCAGCGTTTGAAATACAGTAGGCATTCCTGGTGGCTATTTTGCTCTTTTGTCGATAGGCCCTCACCAAAGGATTTTGCCTCGATGAACTTGCTTGCCTTTCTGACAAGAGTACACAACCCGGCCGGCCAACGAACATAGCTTTAGACTTTCAAGAAGTAACCAACCTCTGCTGGAATCATATGGTTCTCAACCTGGGTCGAAATTGCCTTTGCTGAGAGCTTTCGATCATCGCGGAGATTCTCTTGGAGGCTTGACACAGGACAGAGGGCCGAGGGTCAAGGTGATCTTCGGTAGGATAATCCGTGACGATAATGGACTCCTTTGCTCGTTAGGTTGCGAGCATCTGTGTTCTTTGGCGGTGATAGAAGCACTTGAAGCTCTCTTGACCGGTTTTAGCTACGTGCATTTGGTTTTTTAATGGCTGTCTGCGCCCTGCAAAAGCATGCACAACATCGCATTCAATGGTGAATTCGAATGACGGGGCGCGATTTTGGATGGCTCTTCAGAGCTTCCCTCTATTTGCTCCGTATACGCCATTTAAACAGCTCCTGAGAGACAGGTAAAATGGGGTCTCTAGACCTGTTTGTCACTTTCGTTCACTCCCAACATCAGGAGCGAAGCCACCTGTCTCTCTAGTATCTACATGCCAGAATCAGGCCCCATTTCAAGGTCAAGGAAATCTCTTCTCCAGAGCTTTGCTCAAGGCAAAGTGACAGTGATGAAAAGGATGGAAGGAGCCAAAAAATACGCGGATAAGAGCCCCGAAGGACACTTAATGGCGACGTCCACCGCGATGTGCAATGCAGGGACACCGCCATAGCAAACCCACTTCTTGAGCTAGGTTGCTCCCACAAGGTCTATCATCATGTTAGCGGCTTGTGTTGGGAATGGTAGGGGGTGGTTTGGGGAGAACGCACAAGTATGTCTTTTTTCAAAGGGGACTGGGGAAAGCGACGTATTTAAAGGAAAATCCATGCCAAGCTTCCGGCAGTCGGTATGTGCTGTACAGTGCTGAATAAATCACGCTACAGTGCCAAGATACTCTAAAATCCAGCCAATCTCCGATGTGGACACCATGAGGGATTACTCGGTACTATGGGCAGCACTCGGTGCCGACTCGCCGAGTACCTTTGGAATTATGCGACCTGGAAGCTGTCCAACTGCTTCTCTACAGAGGAGCAAGCAAACCTAGGGTCGGCAACAGATGGACACACCCGGTCATGATATACCAGCATCTACCTAAGGACGAAGTGAGAGGAGTCTGTGTGAGGGACCTCAGGAAACCCGAACATGTCGCCCTCCAGGTGGACTAGGTGTGACTTTCCGGGCGTGTTCGTTACAACAGCAGGTTGAAAGTGAACACAAAAAAAAACCAAGACAATGTTGTCAGGGCTGTTTTCCCCAAATGATTTTGCGTAAAGCAAAGAAATTGACGAAAAATGAGTATGCTTTTTGAATTTTCAAGTTTTTTTTGGGGGGATTTTTTAGGTATAGGTGAAAAACTCCAGGAGGCTCAATTACACCGGCGCAGCAAACAAGAACGCGGGGGCAGAGCACTCATACTCATCACAAAGTGCAACAAGCCATCAATCTTTCCTTCACTCTAACCAACCGAAAGCCCGGCTACCATCCAAAACAAACAATATCAGTTTCTGTAACAGGCCTAGTTTCTGGTTGCCATCTGGAGAATGTCGTCAACAAGAAAACCACCTTCAGTACGGGGACACGACCAGAATCATTGCGCCTGCGATGAGCAAGAGCACTCCTTACGCACTGTCAGGGGTAGGATTTGTAAGAGAGGAGGAAGTTTCTCGCGGATTGTGAGAGGAATTAGGGACCCTGACAGTGGCAGTGTGTGGTTGAACAGCATCCGACGAGAGATCCAGAGCCGCGCGTACAGCTCGGTGATAGTCCCGATTGAGCGACGTCTCTGAGGAAAGGTCCAGATACAAGCGTACAGCTCGCCAATATGCCTGATCTGACGAAGGCGAGTAGTCTCTCCACATCTCCGGTGCCTTGGTTCGGTCAGGAGATGTGTGCTGGTTGGACGAGGTCGACTGAGAGGGTGTGTTGACCGGGCGAGGAGCAGGGGTGTCTTCGACAATGTTCTTCTTGCTGCAAATACAACCCATGGTGGCGATGGAGTGAGCTTCGTTCACAATGGGTTTGTTGGAATGGTTTGGTAAGAGAGTCTGGAAAAAGAAAAGAGAACTTCCAAAGGACGGGTGACAAGGGTGCAACAAGTACTTCTTGAAGTTGAGGAGTTGACCTCGTTAACTTCTCTGGCATCCACCAACGATTAACTTTTTAAAGAACCAGCGACTTCCTCCCTCCCATTGAGCCACAGTGGCTTTCAAGTTTTGCGGACAGAGATCTCTCAAATCTTAAACTCAGGAACAGGCCCATCTAAACGAGCGGGATGCCCTGGAGAGTGATTGAAAGCAGGTTTGTTGATCCAGCGATCTCCTGCTTCTCAAGAATACTAGTTCGAAATGCACGTCGGAGGTCTTTCACAAAGTTGCCAACTGCCATCCCATCCTCGAGCGAACACGGTGAATATTCATCTGCATAAGAAAGCAGCCCAAAGAATGAAGAGAGACAGACAGGACCGTCAGGGAGCCACACTGTCAGCAGAATTCCAAAATTCCCTGCGGAGCATTCTGATCAGCTGGATGGTGATATCTCTGGCCTTCGATTGAATCAGTGTCCAACGACCCAAGATTGGATCCGGTACAACAATACTTCAGTCCACCATGCTGAACGAACCCTTATCCTCTTGTGTCTGTCGATTTATTTCTCAATGCGGTTCTGATCCATCTCTTGGTTCTAATTCCAGTGGCAGCATTGGAGCGCGGATGCCGTGTTCAAATAAGGCCGGGGCCCGCTGGATTCTATTGGCCGAACCAACGTTGACCTGATGAAAGATTTCAAAATGACCATGTTTTCTCACTCACGCTATGAGGTCTAAGTTTTTGCTTCGCCCTCGTGAAGAGGGAAAAAAACTTTCTGTAGTGCGTGAAGGGCACCATGAACTATTGCTGAGCAGGACGTCTGATTATCGTTGTGCCTAATGGCCTTAGAGAGCCTTGCTCGCTTGGCCTTTAGAGCCCTTGGTGCCCGGCCGCCAATATATATGACGTAATTTCTGCACTTGGAATGTTTCCCGAGCCGTCCGTCTGTTCTGGATGGCGGATGGATGGAGCCTTGACGCGACCTGTTACGTGTCAGTGACATGGCATTCGCTTCTTTGACTTGGTATGTGAGAGTGGCAAAGGCCATATGAGACCCAACTGCAACCACTTCTACATAATACCTCAAGGAAAGCCTTCCTGATGCCGTCAAAATGACTTCCCTCCACCAAGTACAGCCATCACTCTTGACCCAAGGCTGAGTGCACCCGAGAACTTGGGGTGTCACCCTCGCAACAGGTATTGCTTGTTCTTGCACAGGCCGAGCTGAACTAATCGACCGAGTACGGTATACAATGGCGCATGCATCCGGCTCCCGGTTAGGCGAATCGTGGGTGGTCGAGGACCAAGGCGATGAGAGCATCAGTTGGGACGAACATTCCGCAATGTCGGACATCGACGATGAACAAAAAGCCACATTCCAAAACAAACAAGACCCAGAGATGACAAGAGTTATCCGCGAGCGACGTAAATCACCCAGATTGTCCACTCCGATATCACCAGAGCCAGAGTTCATTATGCCATCTTTGACAACCAGTATCACTCCTTCAGAGCAAATTGTTCGGAGGGCTAAACCTCCTACTACTACTTCTAATGTTGCCCAGTCAAAGCAGCAGAGAGTACCAGTACGGTCAGGTCGATCGATTCAAATACAAGCTCCCGCGCCACTGGCGTCGCCAGTGGTAGACAAGATAGTTCTTGTGCTTGCGCATGCCACCGAATGGTCGCTCGATGTCCTCGGGCAGACGCTAAAGACCTTGAAGCGGCCCATCTCTTGGCTACTTGCGGCATACCTCTTCTTCGGCATCTTGATGCTCGTCCAAAACCTCCTGACGACATCAGTCTATACAGCTTTGTCGCCTATATGTCGCATTCCCGGTGTGTCCCTTCTTAATCTTCCACTCTGTCAGTTTACCTCATTCCACAATGAAAAACCAACTCTTCCTGCCGGCACTTCTGCTCCTGTCGAATTTGATGCCCTAATGAAAACGCAATCTCATTTTGAAGAAATCCTGTCTGAATCCGCGGCTGGTGTCTCTTTGCCTCTGGACATGAAACGATCTGAGACTTCGATTCGAGACCTGCGGCAGATTGTCCGGTATTCGCAGCTCGCCTCACGCAATGAAATGGTTCTCGAATTCGATGGATTTATCGAGACAGCCCGCATAGCATCATACGACCTGCAGAAATTCAATTCGCACGTCGGCCGCGGCGTGGACATTGTGCTGAGCACAGCGCGCTGGACGCAACGTGTGCTCGATGACATGGCAGTCAAGCAATCTTCCCGAGGCTTCATCCCAGGTTTCATACAGGACAAGCTTCTCGCGCCTTTCAAACCGTTACAATTCACCGAGGCAAAGCTTCTCGACCAATACATCTCGCATACGCGGATAGTGTCTGAAGAGATTGAGCGTCTGATCGAAGAGGCACAAGCTTTGCTCCTGGTCCTGCAGAACCTCGAAGATCGACTCGATGTGATCCACGCAATCGCACTGCGCGACAACATCTCCGCTCAAGCCAGCAAAGACGAGATCCTCTCACATCTCTGGACCCTGCTGGGCGGCAATCGCGCCAAGCTGGGCAAGTTCAACAACCAACTGATGCTTCTGAGACAAGTCGGCCAATACCGAAAAGTCGCCTGGGCGCATGTCTCGGCGACGATCCTCAAGCTGCAGGCCATGGGCGCCGAGTTGGAGGAGTTGCGCACCAGGGTGTCGAGCGCCGAGGTACTGCGAGGGCACAAGGAGATCCCGCTCGCGGTGCATGTTGAGAATATAAGACTGGGGGTGCAGCGGCTCGAGGAGGGTAGGGAGAACGCCAGACGCCTTGAGCAGGGCCATGTCAGACGGGTTATCGAAGGCGCAGAGCAGGGGAATGTCATGGCGTTGGGGCAGTCCTGAGCTTTGTATCTCGAGCGCTTCCTGTCCACGATTCTTACGATTTTAACGGGACAAAGTCCAGACGGCGCGGCCACAAGGCTTTCAATGTAAAATATATTTGTGATGCTCTTCTGTACGAGCATCCCTATATTCAATAATCAGCGGGTGGAGGAGACAGGAGTGGCGATCGGTGTACAATGTAGCACAGTATATGTCACCCGGCAGTGATTTTAGTGCCGATCGAATTATGATCATGGATATTAATCAATCACTGCTCTTGGAATGAAGTTTCATTTGTGGTGTTGTTGATTTTGTTTTCGCAGAATCATGTCTTCACATTCCTTGTGCCTCGTGCTCTTGCAGGATCAGCTTGCATGCGACAGCATCATCCTACCCTGAAATATCCCCTAACCACCCAAAACTCATTCCCAATGTCGTACAGCAATCTTCGCGACACCATGGCCCTCCAGGCCCCATATCCTGGGCGCCATGTTCCCTTCCAAGTCGTCCAATCTAGATCATCAATCTCTCTACCCGATTCTTCAACTCGCGAATCTGGGGCATCAAATCACTAGATTCGTTGGTCGTGATGCTCGCCGCAATCACCGCCCGCGAGACACCGCATGCTCTTCCCAGAGCTGTCTTGGAATTGACGTAGACGTAGGGTACGTTCTTGTCTTCTGCGAGGAGGGGTAGGTGCAGAAGGATCGCGAGGGGAGAGGTGTCGGCAGCCAAGACGACGAGTTCGGCGGTGCCGCGGTTGAGAGTTTTGGTCGCTGTTTGCAGAAAGCGGTCAATCTTCCAGGGATGAGCCGGAGACAGGGGAATGGAGAGAACTTACTTTCGTTGGCGCCTTTTCTCAGCTGGCGGTGGTGGGAGGCTTGTTGGACGGTGTCCCTGTAACATCCAGTTAGTGCTGCGTCGCGAGGACAAAGACTGAAGAGCTGTCCGAGGAATACAAGCGAGGGCTTACAGAATCTTCTGGGATAGTGCTTCGTCGGCCAAGGGCCACGCAGCGCTCGGGTTGTCAGCCATCTGTGTCTGCCGGTTTGGGTGTTTCGAAATTCTCGATTGAGCGTGCGTGAATATGTTTCGTAAATACGAGCTTAAGAAAAGGTTTTTATGGACGAGTATAAGCTTGCAGCAAAGGGTTCCTTGCGTTGGCTCGCCCTTTGCTTGTGCAATGAAGCAGGTCACACTAATGACTCTAGTATTGGTGAGGAGTATATCAAAAAAAATAATTCTGGGGGTTCTAAAAAGTTTAGGCGGAGACGCAGAAGAAGTCGGCTAACCTTCCCTTGCCGGAAGGCTGCCAAGTTGGAGCTTCTCCCTTCGAAACTCGGACCTTTGGAAACATCATCACCCATCTTCCTGCTCAGCACTGAAAGGCCATTCGATTCCTGCTCGACTCCATCATCGCCGTCAAGCTCTTTTCGCTCCCTTCGACTATTCAAGCACCAGTTGATTGATCTAGGAGCTATCCCGAGCGAATCAAGAAGCCAGTCAAGATGTCTTCCGATCTTTGGTACGTGTTGCTTCTGCCCCCCATGCTCCCTGGTATCCTTCAGCCTGCGCCGGTTTTACTCGATAAGTTGGACGGAGCTACCACTTAGCACAACATCATATTTGATCTCTTTCTCGATATTCATGTACTAACATGACTGCGTCTCTAGCCCCGTCTATGCGGTATGTTGTGCCATCCTCCTGAATCGCCTCATTGACAATGACGCTTTACCATCACACTCCCTGCTCGCCGGAAAAGCTATCCAGGAAGAGGAGAGGGCTGACTGTTTGAATGTTGAATAGCCCTTCTTTGGCGCCATGGGCTGCACGTCTGCCATTGTCTTCACCTGCTTCGGCGCCGCCTATGGAACCGCAAAATCCGGCGTCGGCATCTCCGCAATGGGTGTTCTTCGACCTGATCTCATTGTCAAGAGTATGGCCTTCTAGCCCACATATCCGCCAAAGACAATCGACCAGAGGAACTGACACATACAGACATTGTCCCCGTCATTATGGCCGGTATCATTGGTATCTACGGCCTGGTCGTCTCTGTCCTGATCTCCGACAATCTCTCCCAAAAAGAAGCTCTCTTCACCAGTTTCATTCAGCTTGGTGCTGGATTGTCTGTCGGTCTTGCCGGTCTGGCTGCAGGCTTCGCGATTGGCATTGTTGGGGATGCTGGCGTTCGCGGCACTGCACAGCAACCTCGCTTGTTCGTCGGCATGATTCTCATCCTCATTTTCGCCGAGGTGTTGGGTCTCTATGGATTGATCGTAGCGCTATTGATGAACTCAAAAGCGCAGACTGACGTGACCTGCTAGACTGGGAGAGGAGCGCTGGTATGAAGGGGGGAGAACAGGATGACGGCTGCGCTGGAGCGTCATGAGGAGGGCAGAATGCTGAGGACAGGAAGGATGGGATCAAGATGAAGCGAGGCCGTACATGGGATGCATCGAATGAGGCCGGCAATTGCCAATTTCTCCTCTGCCAGCCTTATACCAACATCAACTACCACCGAGAACCGACAACAACCACCACCCACACCGGGGACAGCTATTTCGCAAAGACTTGTCCTTGAATCCGAATACTTTGATGTATGAATGCTAGAGCTTTTTGATCACAGATCAGGCGGCGCAAGTTAATTGCTCGCTCACTGGGCTAGGGCTACGGATAGTATAGGATATTGTATTGAACTCGTTAACCTCTGTTATGCCCAGAGGGCAACTACTTTTCTCTCCTTTCCTCTCTCCTCCAGATTCGATCCTATCTCCATAAAAGCACCTGTAGTGGGTCGCAAGAGCATCAAGGCACTTCGTTTTTCTCTACCACGGGACTCTACTTCAAAAAGTTGTAAAGAGCTGGCAGAAACGCACAGCAGAGCAGAGTAGGTGATACGTACGAGTTAAAGCACCTCTATGTTCCAGTGACTGTACAAGCATGTTCCCTACTAGCTAGAGCTTCTGGTCTCTTCTTTCCTCTCGCCGTGCACGGGGACGGGGCGGCAGACGTGGGCATGGACGCGGATAATAGTTTTGCAGAAGCACTGGGCGAGGTGGACACTGCGCGAAAGGCGAGGGAAGCCTTGTGATGTTCTCCCTCCCGCTTCAAGGACGCCGTACTTGTGCTTGCAACGGAGTACCGACGGAGTACAGACGGAGTATGACTCGTCCGGTGACTCCATTTACACATACGCACTCTTGGAGTAATACTTGTAGGACTTGTACTTATTACGGAGGCGTGCCGAAGTCCGAAGTCGGAACCCACGTAGATGTGCACGAGTCCCTCCTGTTCAGAACTCGTCATCGTCCTCATAGTCGTGCTTACAATTCCAAAGGTGGCCAGGTGGACAAAGACAAGAACGAACCAAGAAAATCGAACCAAGAGTCCCAAAGAGAGAGCGAAGAGACTATTCTTGTAGGGTGTCTGAGAATCAAGTACCTAATTCAAGGAAGGCTGTTTGTAGTCTGCGTTGCGTCGCGATAATTTAACCGAACGGTTTCGTTACTCGCACTGGCAGTTGCACCAAGAGTCGATGAAGCAGGAAGAACTCTGCACGACCCGCTTGAAATGCAATGACAATGTGTAAGACTGCTCGTCCGGACATGTCTAAAACTCAGGTGTATGTTCCTTGCAAGCAATGCAAACTGGCCAATAAAGCATCGAGTTCCACTTCCCCAATCAGGCGGCATTATATCTGCCCCAACTTCCTCCTCAAGTTCCTCGTCTTGCGCATCAACTTCTTATACTTGTGCTTCTTCATCTTCAGTCGCCTTTGTCTCTTAACGCTGATCGCATACATCCCTTCCTTTCTCTTCCCTAGAGTAGAGCCGATCTGCCTTCGGCGACCGATCATCCCGTTTCTTCCCGACGGCGTATGATGCTCGATCTCTTGCACAGAAGACGATGCATCTGGGTTCTCGATTTCCATCATAGGAGCGCCACGGCCGGTGAAAAAGCCTCCATTTTGTAGGTCCGATGAATCTCGAGGAATGTTGATAACAACCTGTTGAATGTAAGGGTCGTTGTATTCTTGTTGTTCGATTTCCACTTCCAGCGCCTTGGCTTGCATTTCTTCCTCCTTCTCAGCTTGGGCTGCATATTGCTCTTCGCTAGCATTGATCTCAGCATCGCTGATGGGTCGAGGGACAGGAGGGACATTGAAGGGCCGAAACCTTCGTTGGATTTCTTGGATAACTAGTTTGATATTGCCCCCCGGAACGTGGATGGGTTGCGGAGCACCGTCGAGGTGATGTGTTCGACTAGGATCAGCAGGGTTCTCATTGCGCTGCATGAGAGCTTTAATCAGAGCTGCCTTCTGCTCGGCATTTTGTGAATGTTGATCGGCCTGCTTTTGAGCAATATGCTCATCAAGAGCTTCCACGGCCGAAGCGAGCGTGTAAATCACGTCTTGAGACGCAGTGCGTGATCTTGACTTGGGTTTCGGTTGGAAGATTTTGTCGATTGCTTCTATCGATGCCTCTGGCGGCACAGGTCCGGAAATCGACATGGGTCGATGGGTTGAGAAGAAGGAGGCAACATAGACATCTAGCGATGGGGTCAGCTTGGGACGACCTAGTTATCCGGCATGCAAACCTTTAGGGTTCAAGTGCTCTAGACTTGGGACAGCGGGTAATCTGGAAGTCCAGTCATCTTGGGTATCCTTGTGCTCCACCTTGTCCTTAGATCTCTTCTTCGAAAGGCGGGACTCGGCGCCGTGGCGCTTCGACTCTGATCGGGGAGCCCCGACTTGTTTTACCGAAGCTGCTGGGATTGCGGAAGAGCCATTTTTGGGTGGTATGGGCGGTTTTGAAGAGGAATGCCGCCGCTGATGAGTGTTGGAGGCGAAGGATGCTATCGTAGGAGCGGCCGGGCGAGAGGGTACTGAAGGTGCATTGCTGCAAGTGCGCGCCACGCGGCGCAGAGAAGTATTGAACATGTGTCACCAGTACTCGGAAACGAGAATAGGAAGGGACAAGACGTCCCAGGTATAATGGCGCGGGGTGATGAGCCGGATGGTTGAGCTGATAAAGACAGAAGATGCAAGATCGGAGTTGAACGTGACAGCGATTGAATGCCAAGGGCTTCAGGAATGGCAAAAGCGGCACTGCCCCGATGTGCTGCCACGTGAGTCAGCAGTCATGAGAGCCAGCAAGACTTGTACTGTACTGTGGTCGGCGAGTCGGCACTCGGTTCCAGCCACAGCCTCGAGGCAGCGTCGGCCGCCACGAGACACCACTACCAAGTTGGAATTTTGTTATTCTTTCCCTCCTTCAAGTCATGACATGGCAGCCTTAACAGCAAGTTTCTGGCGTGAGGAGATTGCCACTGGGGCTATAAACAAGTGAATCCTAGGTCTGATAATACCAGACCGCATAAACTTTCGCTCCCCCCCAGCTTTCAAACCTTCCCACAACATCGTACTCACTTGGTCCAGCCACCTCAGAGAAGAGTCAGACACACCTACAGATTTCTTCGATTCGTCGGATTCTCTGCAATATCTAGAGATCCGAACCCCCAGAGCGAGGAGACGACTATCACCACTATGGATGAGCGTCTGTAAATTTAATCCAGAATGCTCTGCTTGCTCGTGGTCTGTTTTCAACCATCAGCTCTTAAATTGAAGCGCAAGGCCCTTGGGCACATTGTCATTCCGAGTGTACACCCATGGTACCCTACGCCCCGGCTGATGAATACACAGTAAGCCGGATTCGAAAATAAGTGGTAGTCTAACACGAGGTACATCGCTCGAGAGTGCTCCGTGGTATCGAAGCAGCCGCTATGCTAGATACAACTAGCAGTATAGGATGAATAACAGAAGGCCGCTATTCCTAAAGATAACCAACATACTATGTGAATGCAGAGCACCTCCGATCCAACAGCGAATTACTCTACTCTTGTCACAATGTGCCACTGATTTTTGAACGCGGTTCGAGTCTCGACAGGCTCTGAAAGCGTCTTGCGTGGTCCGTTTCATATCTGCATCATCCACGGTAAAACGCCCTGTGACGAATCCACCCCCTGATCAAGAGCATCTCAGCGCCTGCAAGCCCATAAAGCTTCATATTTGGCGTGGCTACACCCCATCAGTATTTGTGACTGCCTTCCACTCGTCCGTGCTCTAGTCGTATGTTAAAGCTGCCAACGCAATCATCTTACCCAAGAGCTTCTGAATGGAAAGCACCAGCCTGTCACGCCTCGGCAAGCAAGGAAACACTCACCCTCCCAGTCAGCACCGGCGATGTTGGGCAAGATCATGGTTTCCTGAAATTGCTTCTTCAATTACCAGCATCGTAGGCATCGCAGCGATTGCTGGGATTCTATTCGTCTGTGACAACGAGCCCGTGCCGAGTTCCTTCTATGGCATAACAGTAATCTGAGCGTCTGAGTACTCTTCTAATAGCTTCGGATTGGCCTTGTCCACAGCTCAATGCGATCATATCCCTCCTCGCCACTATTTCCAAATCCCTCGTTGCGTCTGACGTGGCGTCGGCCGTTGGACAGTTGAAGTGGCATTGGCTCAGTCGAAACAATAGTCGTCTCTATGATCTGCAAATCTTCGATGATGGCAGCAGAGGACCACCAGGTGCTGTACGACTGGCTGCTCTGGTAGATATCGGATCTTTGGCGTTACCTGGGGCTCTCATCACCATCTGCTTGATTGCAATGGACCCCTTTGCTCAGCAACTGCTCACTTATCCAACCCGACCTGCGAATACAAATTCATCGCAGGCATGGGTTCAACGAGTCCAGAATCTAACCAGCCAAGTTGTCAACACTGTTAACTCCTCTGCAATACTTCCTGATTCTCCAGGTCTGGATACATATCTGGCGAGGTTTTGGCTGCAGACCATCTATCACGGAATCTTCTCCGGTCCCAAAGAACTAGATGCTGTCTGCCCAACAGGCAATTGCACATGGCCACGATTCTACAGTATATCCTGGCGCTCCATCTGTTGGGACATTGTCTCCTCTATCAGCCTTGCCGACTGTATCTTCTCATTTGATCCAGCTGTGCCTTTGAACACTTCTAGCCACGGCTGTTACCTTTCCATCAGTGATGCGCAGCCACAACCGATATACGCAACGAGGACTTCTAGCCCCTGGGGAAATCGGTATCTATGATAAAGGTCGAATTGGGATACAACGAAGACGACGTTAAGAATGGAGCAGATATAGTGCCGCATATTCGATCCGCCACTGAATGTCGACTTTATGCTTGTGTCCAGGAATATTCCATGTCCTTATCATTAGAGCATTTGGAAACGCTCATCTTAGGCACCAGCTCCCTTTCGTCAGACGTAGACGGTGACGTTCGCAGTTAATGGTCCACTTCGCTGTCTTCTCCATCGATGTCCGGAACGTCCAGCATCACTCCCCCATCATACAGCCCTTGCCCAGTCTAGTGGAACATTCACTTTCGGGAAACACTACGCAGACCTTGGTATCTCAGACGATTAATCCCTCTGCAAATAGAACAGAGAGTTCTTATTTTTATGGCTCCTATTACGCTTCATCCGATACCCTGGCCTACGTTCTTTCAAATCGGAGTTTCGAGGCCACGATGAATGATATGGCCCCTCAACTTACACATACGGCGCACAACCTGTCAACATATCGCATTTATGGGCGGGTCACCACCATTGAGTAGTTCGTCCATGTGCACTGGGCTTGGCTTGCATTCCCAGTGTTGGTTGTGGTTTCGGGAGGTCTGTTCTCGACAGTGACCATTTTTCAAACGGCCACACAAGATACCCGCATACCAGCCTGGAAATCCTCAATCCTACCGATTCTCCCAGTTGGTGTTCAACAACACCAGGTTGGGAAAGACGATAACAAAAGAGACAGCGCAGTTATCCTTTATCCCTCAGTAGAAGCAACGAAGGATGCCAAATTCCGACTGCACAACCAAGACCCATCGGCGTTGGAAGCCTATGCGAAGACTGCCAGGACGCTACCTGAGTAGTGAGGTCCCTGATCCCCAACAAGGACAGAACCAGCTTGCACCTCACTCCGGATTGAGACGAGGATGATGCTGCCCTACCTACATACTCTGTACACACCCTCGGCTCACCCGAACAGGGTAAGTCACGCAGGGGCTCAGCAGGCTAAATTCCCTGCCGCCTTGGCGTGGTTAGGTCTGCTTGTGCCAGCCTTGCCAGGTCGTCGTTCCTCCAGACTGAAAGAGAGTCACTCTCTTATCTCGCGATTTGAATCAGGCTCATCCCCTTTGCTCAAAACTGGCGCGGTTTTCACAAGGCGAACCGCATCGACGATTGCTTCACTTTCGGGAAGCAAAATGACACAATCGGAGCCTCAAAATATAGCTGCTCACGACATCGAGAGGGTATGCCCGCAGGACCAACATGAGAATCGTAACTGGCAAATATCCGGCCTTGATACTGCATTGCATGAACTTACGAACGAAACGATACATGTGATACTTAAGCAGGACCTCTATAATCACAGTTTATCATGCCGCACTATCAAACCAAACTGGTCCATGAGGTGTACTAAAAGCGTGCTTGAAGGTGCTCAGCAGCAGTGTGCATGCTGCCGATTGCGAGCCTGTGCAATAGCAGCCGTGACAGATACCAAAATGAATATTACATGGCCTGATTATCACTCGCTAGGCTCGATCATGAACGGTGTTCGAGGCGGATCGCTGAAATTTCCCGGAGGTCGCCATGATGGCGATATGGTACTTCATGGAACGCGCCCAGTCGCTCAGATTGACCTATACACTATTCCAAATATGTGTAAGTAGTATGCTGTGCCTCATCTACCCTGTGCTGCGAAAGTATTAGTAGGGGGCGGCGACTGACGGAATCGACAGCCATTCGCGGAACCTGCGTCCGAGAACATGCTTCAGGATGTACTGGATCTGATGGAGCTCTTCGTTTTGCAAAGGAAATGATACAAGGATGCATTTACAAGCATCTAACGTGTGGCAAAGGTGATGACCCGGCACTCCCTAGTCGAGTTCTCTACATCAAGGAAGGGAGAGTCCATTTGTATGAGACGGCAGGAGAAAGATCTCGCTACGCTGCTTTGAGTCACTGCTGGGGAGGCCAAGTCCAGCTACAAACAACATCAGAGAACTATAAGGAGTTCATCAGCGAAATTCCATGGGATCAGATTCCAAAGACATTCCAAGATGCCATCACTTTTGCTCGAGGCCTTGACTTGGGTTACATCTGGATCGATTCCGTGTGTATTATTCAAGATTCCGAGACAGACTGGCAGACACAGTCTGCCAAGATGAAAGAGGTCTACGAAGGCGCACACGTCACTTTGGCTGCGACACATGGCGCTGCCAGCAATGCCGGCTGCTTTGCAACAGCCGAATGGCAACCGCATAAAATCGCCCAAGTCCAAGTTGGCTCCCAACTCGTTGATTTATTTGCCCGACGGAAGTGGCGTCATTTGGATATGACACCGATGAACTTGAAGGCGCCGCCGGATCTATTGTTGAGACGAGGCTGGGCGTTTCAAGAGAGGTTCTTGTCTCAACGCGTCATCCACTTCACGCGGAATGAGCTTATATGGGAATGCAATACCACTACCGCTTGCGAGTGTGGAGTATTAGTCGATGGCCGTGCGAACAGCCCAAAGAAGTCATTTCGATCGGACTCCTGGACCACCGTGGTCAACAGATATTCTGAGTTACGGCTTACCAAAGCTAAGGACAGACTACCAGCTTTGTCTGGGATTGCAAAGACATTTGCCCTCGAAGGAGGAAACTACCACGCTGGTCTTTGGGAGCGAGATTTGCCCTACAACCTCTGCTGGTATGCCCGGCAACCATCGTCCAAGCGTCCGAAGGATTCGGGATATCCTTCATGGTCATGGGCGTCTACTGCGAAGTCTGTCACAATGCTATCCCTAGACGAATTTCCCAAGGAGTCTTGCGTGCGAATCCAATCAATCCAATGCGAC